CAACGCTTGTTTACGGTATATGCTATTCATAGTCCACTATGTGACATTATGATTTATGGTCACGTGAAAATTGGATTGTTGAAAACATACATATATATAAATAAACTACATATATATAAATACAGCTCGCTTACCGTAACGATTGAATGATAACCAGGTCCAAGCTAGGAATAGCAATTATTCTGTGTAATTTATTTTATTATTTAGTATTTTAAGGCCGTTTTAGAATATCACAGTAGTGGACTGTCAACCCCGTTCCCACCCTGGGAACGAGGTCGGTGGACTGTTCGGTCAAGTGTGATAAAGTGTGCACCCTTCACCAATGGCGAAGCTAGCCATAGCAACAAGTCATGCTATGCACAGTTTTAATGATTTGCTTTATTCAAACTTTTACAAATGTATTGTCTTAACGATAAAAAATCAGTTAACTGTAATAATAAATATTTTGAATTTAGATATATTCGTAGGCTGTTTGGTACGTGTACCTTTTAGGCTCTGATTTGCCGAATATGAATATCACGAATATGTGATTACGAATATGCGGAAAGTACCCCACCATGAACAAAGACTGCAGGCCTTTGCATTTCTAATTTAAAAGTCACCGGGCTAGCAATATGAAAATGCCGGCTACTATTTTAAACTCTGTATTTGAATTCCCATCAATCCAGAGTGTTCTGGTGTTATATTGTATAACCTATTTCGAATTCAATACAGGTTTATTAGGGCCCAGTTGCACGATACCGTATTCGCATCGGAGCGACGTCAAATTTTACAGTTTCAAGGGGAGTTTAGCACACAAAATCATGATAATATAACAGAATTAGTCAAAAACTTCAAATATGAAAAGTTGTAAGAGGCCAAATGTCGCTCCGATGCGAATCCAGTATCATAGTATCATGATACTAATCACTCCAAGAGAAGAGTTTGACTAGCTTGATCTCCAAATCATCATTCGCTCTTGTTTGACCGTTTTGCTACTTTCATTGTTTTCATAGTTTTATTATTTTAAAGTAATTTAATATGGCACCAATAAAGTTGTTAAATGAAATGAAATAGTATGACCAGTTGCCATGGCTAGCTTCGCCACTGCCCTTGACCAAAATTCGCTTAAACCTTTGATTTTCTACTTCGGAACCATACTCAGATATATGAAAAACTAATTTCATATTTACTCTTGAGTAAATCATATATCTCTGAGAATGGTTCTGAAATAAATTTCTTTCACGATTTGAACACAGTAGATGGTTGGAAGAGTGAATCAGCAATACCAAAAAATTACTTTTGTAAATTTTGTTTTAGTCTAATCAGTATTTTCTAATTTGTATTCTACAGTATTTCTAGTTATATTTTTTATTTCTTACGTTAATAAAATTAAAACTGAAAGAATTTTGATGTTTGATTTAATATATTTCTATCTAATGAGTAAACGTTAACACTAAATAAATAAAAACCGACATCATATTGTCCAGTTATTCAAAGTTTTCAAATCAAATAATGTCTGATCATAGCCTAAATAAGCGAGTATTTTTACATATACTTGCTGTAAATAAGAACACGTGCACATATCTCATATAATTTACTAATCAATAATTTTCTGGGGAATATTTCAGTGCTAATTCTGACAACGGCATAACAAATGTTATAGTCTGGGGCCGGTTGTATAAAAAAGTGATTAAAGTTAACTATAATTAAGTGCAAACGTCATCCAATAAAAAGCGCGTATTTGAGAGTTAATCACTATTTAACTATAGTGAGGCGGATATATATGTGTAAAATTATTGATCAGTAGTTCCCGTTGAGGTTAAAAGCATCAAACTTTTACAATTGATGTAGTTTTATTTGCTTAATAATAGATATTTGAAGTGGGGCCGTCGCTATTTTGCTGCTAACTCCTGAAAACGGGTGATTAGTGATTTTCTTCTATTGAATTCTATTATAGCCAAAAAATGTGAAATTTTGTATTCAATTACAACAAATATGACTTGCATCATCAGAAAGCTTATAAAAAACTGCATATAAGACGTTTAGACAGTTTTTTGATTTCTGAAATAGTTTTCGAATTATAAACTGTTAAAAACGCATTTTCAAACATCGAATAATTAATTAGGGACTTTTAGCGAGATAATGTGCCTAATTTACAGCAATAACCATTTGAAGAATAAAAAACTGTTTAAAAGTCTTTTATTTAGTTTTTTACAAGCTTTCTGATGATGCAAGTTATATTTGTCGCGATTGAATTCAAAATTTCACATTTTTTGTTGTAGTAGAATTTAATAGCAAATAATGCTAATAGCATCGTAACTCTCTAAAAAATCAGTTTCACGATGGCCCCACTTTTGCATGTTGTTCTACTCATAAAAAGATGCTACTGTGCACAATTTGGTGCTTTTGACCCTCTTCGGAAACATCCATGCACATATCCGCCACACTACTACAAAATAGTGATTAAAAAAGTGATTAAGAGTTTTTATACAACCGGCTCCTGGTCAAGATGTAGTCAACAGCTACTGACTCGTACCCAGTTGTCAAACAGGAGTACATACATAGATCAGTGAACTGAGGAGTGTGATGCATGATGGGAAGACGAAGAAAATTGAGCCTTGATCATTCCCATCATGCACTATTTTTTTCGATCCTCATTCAGACAGCGACTGGGCACGAGTCAGCTGTATAGAGGAAACAGAGAACCATCTGGTGCGCAGGGTAAACTTTTATATAATAACTACAGTGAAACACGCAATTTGATTGGTCAAAAGCCGTGCAGGATTAGGCTATCCTGCACGAGGAATTAAAATGCCTTCGCGGGATTTTCAAAATGTCATTATTTCACTGTAGTTATTTTATAAAACAATTACCAAATGGTTTTCCAAGCAGGATAGCGTGATCCATGCACTTGGGATGTTGCTCGACTTTCGGAAAGCGTAATAATACACTCGCCTGCGGCTCGAGTATTTTTACGCTTTCCGAAAGTCTCGCGACATCCCTCGTGCATGGATCACGCGATCCTGCACGGAAAACCATTCGGTATTCCTTTATTCCAAAACTGCTCACACGATGATGATAACCTAAGATCGTTTCTTTAATATCTATGCATTGAGCCCACTGATTGAGCCTGGTTTGCGAACAAATTCGCCAAGTGGAAAATGGGCTTAACTGAGTCAAGTTTGTCGATGCGAAATAATCTGATCTTAGTTGCAGAGAAATTACATCGGCCACCTTAACATAGCGCGGCCGTCACGTCAAAATTAAAATCAAGCTTAGTTGATTGCTTTATCAAACTATCTTAATAGGTTGTTTCTTTCTTGAGATATTAAATGATGTTCGATATGCAAATTATCCTCACCATGATGTGATGTCAAATTGCATAATAGCTTTCTGAAAAAACTTTATAACTCTTATAATAGATAAATGAATCAAATTTGTCGACATATATATTTGTAGTATGTTGACGTAACACATATGCTAGCCTGCTTACCGCCTGGAATTTCCAAGGGAGGATCAAGCAGGCTACACATATGCACGGTTTTATGATTTCGAGGCACAATATCCCAAGATCTTGATTTTTTCTCAGAAAGTCATTATGCCATGAAATATGAAAGTCAACGCCACAATGATGATAATTTGCGTATCAAAAATTGTTAAATATCTCAAAAACGATGTAAGCTAAGATGGCCCCAAGATAGTTTGGCAAAGTATTTTGAATTTTCTTTACGTTGCCATCGTGGTGTAAAATTCCGTTGCATGAGCACTTAAATATTGTCAATTGTTATTACGATCGATCTCCTATCTTTGTACAACTAGGGCGAAGGGTAGGGTCTATCCTTATCCTCCCCACTGAGGGCTTGATACTGCGTAGTGTTCCGTGAATCATTCGTGTCCTCGTTCTCCCCGTATCTCTCGTGTTCCGGGGTGCTTCGTAACGGTTTTAATTCCGTGTCATCGTCATCATCTAACATAGGCTTGTGACAGGTGAACAGCATGCCCGGGTGATCTTCTGGTACTTTAGCGCACATCTCGAGGATCAGAACCACAAACGATAAGCCGATGAGAAAATATAAGACGCATAATATCTTGTAGACGTTTCTATATTTACTTCCAAGCCAAGCCTCGCCGTCTCCTGGGGTGTAATCCCCCAGGCCCACTGTGGTCAACGTTATGAAACAGAAATACAGCGCATCAAAGTAGCCCCAGTTTTCAGTCAATGTGAAAAATAGCGCCGGGAGTAAGAGGATCAGCGTGACGATTAGCACGACCAATAACGAGACATTGACCGCGCGAATGACGCTCTTTGGGAAATTGGGTTGAGTGAAGTAATGTCTCGACATCCAGTGTTCTATTATATCGACAACTCCCAGCATACGTTCCACTATGGCAGTAAGTAAAATGGCCGTCATTGGAATACCGAATAAGGCGAATATAATGGTAAATACTTTTCCTTTGTCCGACACTGGTGCGATGTCACCATAACCTAGGAAATAGAATAAAGTATTAGTGAGCAGATGCCTTAACATGAGCGTAAACTTACTGATAAATTTGAGTAATTTTGCTCAATATTTAGAGTCACTGTGGGTGCATCGAGTCACAATTGTTAGCAGTAAGTTCTATGATAAGTTACAGTATTATTTCTGAACTCGACTATTATCTGCCATACTGACAATAGGTGTTCGAGACAGAGGGCATGGGGCAATTGCCTCCCCACAAAAAATTTAGAAAACCATTTAGAAAACCATCATTTCATTACAATATTTGAAGTGCCCCTTCCAAGTGCACATTCAAGTGCCTCTTCCCCCCCCCCCCCGGAAAGTATCAGGTCCGTACGCTTATGATGCTGACAAAAGTGAGTGAGCCATGGAGCGATGTTATCTTCATAGTCTAAGTGGCCAACTCTAAATTTAAGAATTCGGGAGCAACAAGTCAATTCCAAAAATCATGCAAAGCGAGCTATCGAATATAGATTCAAGTCTCGCTGTTCATGAGTTGGGTCAGCGGTTAGTGTTAGAGTCAGGGTAAGGATGGGGCTGAGCGAATATTCATAAACAGCGAGACATGAACTTTATATGACCGACCTATTTACAAGACTAGAACTGCTGGCTATACCGGCAAATACTTTGAACTGCACTTTTAAGATTGGCTATCTCCAGAAAAATAAAGGCATGTCATCTGTTGGCCTATAACGCCTACTGAAAGTCTGAAACCCACCAAGAGAGCTTTTTAATGCTTTGCAGAATGTATGCATGTCAATGATTTAAATCTTCAGATTGAGTTGCAGAATAAATTCCACTGTCTCAGCAGTTACGTTCCTATACGGGAATATAAATAGGCCACATCGTAGGCTCTTTTATCGATAAAATTTAAAGACGAAAGAACTTTTTGCTGTGTAGAATGTGTGATAATAAACTATGAAAAAGTCGGGACAGCTGCTCCTTCCCACAATCTTTACGTCCAAAACACAGCTGCGTCAATTAACAGATCGAGGGATGTCCGTTATGTAGGCATATCGCGGAACAATTGTAGCAGAGTATGGGCGTTGTAAAACCACGGAATAAAACCACGCAATATTTGTTCATGAGTAATTTCAGGTAAATTTCCAGGTAATTTAGCATTGACAGGCAAACATGGACGTTAAAGGGAAAGGAGACTAAAAATGCAAAATTTTAGGTGTCTAAATCTTCAAAATCCTCCCCGAACACCTAGCAGATGAAGCCCCCTGTACCATTACGCTAATGTATTCTTTCGATAGAAACATCTGCTACTGGAATGTACACATGAAAAAAACACACTAAACTTTTCAAAAACTGCTTTTAGGTAAACGTGAAAAGTAATATAAAAATCAGGTAAATTGGATCCTTACCCCCAGTCTTATATAGGGAATTCTTGATATTTTTAATTTTTTTCAAAGTAATATCTCCGTAACACTAACAGACACTAGTTTTTTATGTTAACGAGACAAAAAGATATTATAATGATATAAAAGTCTGCTTTAATCAATAGCGTGTGAGAGTTTATAAACTTCTTTCAAAACAAGCTAAACACCATTTTTCTTAACAATTTTGATGACCGACGACTCCATTGTGTTCACAGAAACCTTTATAATCATAGGGATCCGTAGTGCAAATCATCAAATAATCAACAGAACAGCACCAGAGCACAAAATGGATGTCAATGAATTGATGATTTTTTAATTCGTTCCATTCCACTGGTAGAGCGTCATATTTTCCCCTTTTTGAATTGTTTTACAACGTGTGAATGACTATGCTGATAAACTCTCGCATGCACCTTATCAACTTATTTTAAATTTAAAACCGTTCAGAGAAGGGGGGGGGGATGAGTTGATGGTTGGTGCCATCAGACACAAAACACAAAAATACAACCAAAAAATTTCGTGTTTCATGCACTCTGAACACGACAAGTGGCTACCTATATTAAATGCTATTAAAAGCTATCAACCGTGTAACCACTTTAAAGCCTGGTTCACATATACCTGTGTTATGTAGGCGGGCTATATTGTCGTTAACAGTTCAAACAAATAATTCACAAAAGAATGTATGCATCAACAGCTATAAACAATGATAGCGCAGGCATATGTCATGTGAATCAGGCTTAACGTAGAGACGTCTCGCATGCATGGACAACTAAAGGGCACTCGGAGACTGCATCCGCCAGCGAATTAAGTTATGCATAAATTATTTATGCATACAGTATCATGCATAAATTATATACAATTCACTAATTCAGTTTATTCAGATTTTTAAGCGAGACAAACGTTTGCTAATTTCTCATGCAATTTTAATTCGAACTTAACCAAAATTTAATCAATTTGTCCTTGGGTAATGTCCACTTGTCCCACAAATGTTCGTATTAATACGTTTAATATTTACACATGCAGACAGACACACTGTCAGACACTCATATACAAACAGCTGAAACAGGGATGGAAACATACTGCCTCCTGTCGGAGGTATTTATCGACGATATCATAACGGAATATTTTGTAGTGCCGAGTACATCATCTCTAATGCCCGTTGACCAATATTGTAGAGTCTCAATTATGAAAGATGTACAATACCAAATTTTGGTTACCAAGTAACAAAGTTTCTGACAGAATAATCTCTCACCTATCCATAAGTATTTTATATCTAAAAGCACTTTTTGTTCCTTTCGCTCTTAAATATTTATCTCATGAAAGAATTTGTTAGGGCCTTGGTTTACCGTCTTCAATTAAGACCGCGTTCTCGTTGCTTTCAAATACAATAAACCGATTATTACTGTCTGTAAACTTACGTATATAGTGCATGCACTTAGTGCTCAATCATTACTGAGACAAAACGTATTAGTAATTTTGTAACTTTTAATTTCTTGCACAAACAAAACTCGTATAACGTTCATGATATTAGATTCGATGTTTTTCATGCCAGTTTTAGCAAATACTCCTACGATTAAAACATGTATGAATATTCTTTCACGAACCGGCAAAAACTAACATAGACATAGTCATAGAAAGACAAAAACATGTCATATGTTATTAGGCTTGTCCTTATCTGTTATAATTATAAATGACTGATATATTTTTCTGGTACAAACAGAATATAGAAGTCTTAAAATATTTCGAAAGGTTATTATAGATTAATAAATGTGTCAAATACAATATGAAAACGACATAAACGTGGTTGCTAGACTCATTTTAAAATATCGCCAATAAATATCGCCAATATAAACGTGCACAAAATTTCCAATGTCTATTCATATCCATAATTCGTATCTCACATACTGCAAATATGTTCCTGTTTTTTTTTACAGGAACTAAAGATAACGCGATATTGCTTATGAATATATAAATGCGATTTATATTGTCTAATTATAAATGAAATTAGACAAGACATAATTTAAGCAACTTTTCCTATACAAAACCAAAATCCTAACAGACTTGCACTCAATTTTTTTATTAGTGACTGTTTATATCTCTGTATTGAAGTTAAGCTTTATAAATGTAAAATGCAAAATTCCAATTTTTACAAAGGTTCGTTAGTTTGAAGATATTATAAACTGAAATATAGGCATTGGACAAACATTGCACTAAACGAAACCGAATTTAGAAATTTTAGGATTTGAATATGTATAACAATGTTATGAATTAAATCAACCTTTGTTTTGTAAAGTTGTCGAGGCTTTCTGCATGCTTGTACGGGTATAAGTATAACTAGTATAAGTATATAACTTACAAAGAATCTTCTCGCCTGAACCGGTGGAATTACTATTTATCGTAACCCAGGTTAGCAAACATTCACAAAGGCATCTCAAAGGTGTGCTTTGTTATTGCGAGAAGTTTCAAATATTCTTTCAGCAAGAAACTGATACAAAGATCACAAAGCTGTTGGTGCATATAAAGATTATGTTAATGTGGGCGACATACGTGATGGAAAAATTTCCGAATCAATTGAAGATACTACCGCTATAAAGTATAGTAAATCTTGCTTTATTTATCCAGGACAACTTAAATTCGTCACTGACTTTCCTAGGACATTGATAGAGCAAAATTGAAAGGAGTTCTTTCAAGAATAGCACAATCTTAGGCTTAAAAGCGGGGTGGGGAGTATACTCAAATGATCCATAATGTTTTCATGCATGAAATCAAACGAGAATGAAGTTTCTCCACTGAATTTCAGTCTCGTTCGAATACAGGAATACTTTGACAATCGACTAGTATAACCCGCCCTTTCCTGCAATTTGAGCTTATTCTAATGATTGCGTTGTTATCTGATAGAGGTATATACGAGAATTCACAGATCGATTCATCCATGCATAGACGGCTACAAGTCAATACTTTAGGTACACATTGCAGTCACAGTAGTCACAGGTTACATGTACAGCCTCGTTAGACAATGTTACAGTGAATGGCTCAATGTAGTATAAAAATAGGGTCCCCCGATCTAGTGTTGGTAGTATCCTAGTACAATAAGCTGCCGTGGATTGATGCTAGGTTACCAGAAAAAATCTTTGTCAGGCACTACAACACATATGTATACAGCAAAATTGCACAAAAATAAGAGCATAGCTTTTGGCAATATTGAATTGCGTTCACGGAGTATAGGTCAGAATCCAATGTAGTGAAGCATTCTACATGCATAAGCTGCCTGGATTTGTGTTGAAACTTGGAATAAGCTGGAACTTTCAATCGGGTAGTTCCAAGATAAACCCTTGGCAACAAATATAAGAATGACAACAATGATGAATGATTCAGACCTGAAACTAAGTTGGGACTTTTGCTAATGACAATGTTTGATCAATTGATCGATATCACATCATCAATACTTATCATCAGTTGTGCTCTTAAATTAATGCTTGCTAATGGAATAAAGCTTTCTTGTCGAATCAGAACGTTTGGCTCAGGCAACCATCACACACGAGTCAAGCGGAACTAGCTCATTCAAAATTTAATTTCGACTATCGACAGATGACCATGGCACCAGGTCATAAATCCCTCTTTATGTTTCAATTTACAACAAATCACATGCGATAAAACCCAGGTATTTTTAATAAAGTTAGTACTGTACAACACAAGCAACAAAAGCCCCAAACACTCTGCAACAGCTGCCCTGTTTGATATCATGCGATAACTGATCCTTACCTATTGTCGTAACCAGTGTTCCCGAGTATAGAAACGCGCTTGCGAAATTCCAACTTGGAAACGTTGTTAAATTGCGAATCGGTTTGATACCGTGCTTTACCGCTTGTATAACCCTTAGCACGTAATGTTCTAAGTCCTCGTTGTTTACACATTGATTTTTGTCAAGAAATTGCTCTCTAAGTTCCTTTAATTTATCCAATTCGGCTTCTTCGACAGGCGCTTCAAGTGTGGCGAAAATTAAGGAACCTATACACAAGTAGAATACATAAATAAGAACGAAGATCAGCAATCGAATGGTTCCTCTTTCTATTGCCATAATTTGTGAGTTTGAACGGCGCTAGAGTTGCGTTTCGGTTGTGTCCTCCGCGAAGGAAACGTATATTTCAAAGCCGAGCTGTTATAATTAATGTTTACGATGCATATGTTAGACCTTATGCAAATGAAGTGTAATCTATGATACGGTTTATGAAAGGTTTTATATTACGTAGCGTAGGAGGCACAATATATCATCTGCTCAAAAATGCGGGGTTACTATGACGCATCGAGAATTATTCAGAAAAAACAGAAAATGACAATGTGCTGTAAATTCCGCGCTTACAATTAAAAGAAAAATACAGTAAGACCTTCGTTAGGACTGGTTAGTAGCTGCCAAAAGGACGAAGTCAAGAAAACTGCGGATTATAGATTTATAGGGATTTAACTACCGGAAAAATACAAGTAAAACTTCGACGTTTTCGTCAAACAGTTTACTTGTATTTTTCAGGTAGTTGAATCCCTATCAATCAACAGTTTTCTGGTGTTTTTGTCACTATCTACGCGCTGGCACAGATCGTTCGATAGTTCACTGGTCCACTGAGACTGTCAGACACAAACCATGGCAGTTATATACGACAAGTTTCCCGCGGTCGGCCGTACAAGTCCTCGACCATTGTATCTTTAGTACAAGGTCTTGCCATACAGAAAGTTCAAGGTTTTTAGTTTTGTCTGCTACATACTAATTTTCAAGGAAACTGTTTGTTTGAGGAAACTTAAAAGTTCAATTATAGTAAAGGCCATGTTAAACACAGACTGGGTGCAAACGCGTCAACCCTGGGGGTAATGGGAACACATCGGTCCCTCATCTGTTTTGGACAGGAGGCTAGAATAAATTAATTTATAGCAAAACTGAAAAGTGAAGTGAAAAAACGTGCATAGTAATAGTTTAGAAACTAGTACCAGCCGACAATTTCAAAAAGTATAAGACAAAACACAATCAGAATATGATTCTCATCAACTTTGACTATAGTCTTTGTCAAAGACTCTTTGACTTGGCTCCGAATTTTGATGAGAGTTGATGAGAGTTTTCGCTGCGACTGCGCAGGTGCATAGAAATATCCAGTCAACATGCAACAACACCGCGGAAAAACGTCTGCGCACGCGTCAACCTTACCTGTAATAGTATTACGAACTTGATGAGAAGCTGTTCCGAACATAGAGATTATAAATAACACTAGAGGAGGCATTGTAATCTTAATTCAGTAAAAAAAAGGGAACGCGACTATTGGGGGGCAAATTCAAGTCCCGGATGTGTATTCGTGTTCCCATTGGTGACGAGTTCCAAATCAGCCAATGAGAGCACGATTTTATATCCGGGACTTGAATTTGCCCCCCATTAGCTGCGTTCCCAATTTTTAAACTCGATGCCTCCTCTAGTGTTATTTATAATCTCTATGGTTCCGAACGTTTCCGAAGGCTCAAAATGGCGGTAAAAAGGAGTGACTTCATTGTGCGTCTTTACAGCCAGATTTCAAGCGCAAAAATGAACATGTCATTCTAAAAACTAGAAATAAATACAGCCAGAAGGTTCAAGAAGTTGTATTGTACAAGAACATGAACTAAAGGTGATTGTTGACAAATTTATCGTCTGAAACATTTTGTTTATCAACTAAGCAATGACAATTTCCGAATTTTAGTTTGAGATACATTTCTTTAAAAAAAACTGTGTCGCCAAATATAAAAAATTTGCGTGCTCACAATAATTAAACTTTAGGATTTATTCTATAATTTGAGTGGGTTAAGAAGCTTAACTTTTCGAGAGTTTTCTTAACTTTTTAGTTTGAATTTTTGTTTTGAATAATTTTGCAAAAATTTTCGAAGTCGTGTCCGTTAAAATCAACATTTTTTTACATGAATTATATTTCATTCCATACCGTTTAAATGCCAGGACGCTTTCAATTAATGTCTAGCCATTTGCTATATTTTCTCGTTTGTTTTACTAATTTTTGACCAATTAATAAGCATGTTTTTGTTTTAGAAATTGATATTCAAATTCCCCGCCATATTTTCATAATTTGGTGCATGCGCAGACGTTTTTCCGCGGTGTTACATGCAACGGCTCTTGTTCTTGACTTGACAGGAGCACAAGAATTGACGAAGAACCGATAGACTTGCTCTAAGTCTCGCTTGCCAGATTTGGATTCAGAAAAAGATTGGAATCAAAACTCTAATTTAGTAGGACGGAGCGAGACTTGGAACAAGTCTAAGAAAACTAATGCAAGCTCTCGCTTGCCAACTCTTATCCGCTCTCATCCTCGCCGGTTTGACCGGGGCTTAATTCAAGGCTATAATTGAACTTTTCCCGCCAACTTGCAACGCAATTTCCGACACATAGCCAGAAAGCCGCATTTGCAATTACGTACACACAAATTATATTTCTGTACAAACCTCGGAAGGATCACGAGCTCATCAATGAACAACGAACCATGCACAAATTCCGAACATGAATTGAAACTGAAATATGTCTGGTAAGCGAATGATCTAAAGGTAGATTTACACATTACTATTTGCCGTAAAGCCTAGCTAGCCATCCAAAATTACCAGCCAGTGCAAAATGCGCAGGTTTTTACAGGGCTGCAACATATTTGCTAGTTGCTATGAGGTTATTTCAACAAGCCCAGTTCAGGCTGTAACCAGTCGTTCCAGTTTGCTGCAATATACTTGAGTGGAATAATGCCGGAGTCAAATCTCAATAGACTTGTTACAATGTTCGGTTGCAACAACTCAGTGCTGAGTGACAAATAAAGTTGTACTCGAGAGAATAACAACAATACAACATTGTTACAACATAGTTAATAGAAACATAACAAATACACAAGGCTTGCGGCAAGCTGACAACACATTTAACTTGATCAGTGTAGCTTGTTTACTGATGCAGACCTACAATCTATGACAATATAGATTGGGACAATCTAGTTTTCACATGCCCATTCGGTTGTAATATACCATTTCCTGATACATATTTTCCACCCTCCTTCCTCCCACCCGTTTCAATGTTGGCGCCGCGTATCCAGACATCAGATTTTTGTTGGCCCAACATTGAACTGGGGGAACGGGGGGGGGGGCGCTATTCCGTTTCAAATTATATGAAATTACAGCAGCTGTCCCATAGTTTCTGGCAAAGATTGTAGTCTGTGAGATCAGTATCACAGGATCATGAAGCACACAGAAGGTCGATCGACGCCATGTTCGTCATCAAAATGCTGACGCCATAGGCATGGTCCTCAATGGCACCACAGATGATAGAGTCTATAACTCTGTGGCAGTGGCTTATGAGAAGCATTCACCCCCCTTGATGTCCACCATTTTGAATATTATCAGGAGGTGAATGCCTCTCATAAGCATAGAGATTATAAATAACACTAGAGGGGGCATCGTAATCTTAATTCAGTCAAAGAAAGGGAACGGGGGGAGGGGGATTAAAATTATGCTAAAATAAGAGCGAGTTTGAGTCAAAATCTCTAAATTCTTGTTTATGGCAGTTTTGATTTTTTACCAAGCATTTTTACCTCAATTTTGTCTATAACAGATTTTTGAGAGCGGTCCAAAATAATGCTGATATCAGCAATTTTGATCTTTTCAAGAGGAAATTCATCGTTCGAATTCAAAATTTAAAACACCCAGTTTTGTGACTCTTGTTTTAAGCTTTACTGGTTGCAAGTGTAACCCAAGAATTGTGTGGCGTTCAGCCGGGATTTCAATTTGCCACCATTACCGCGCTCCCAAATTTCACCCTCGATGCTCCCTCTAGTGTTATTTATATTCTCTATGCTCATAAGCGCACTGGCTAGGACCATGGCGCATTTTGATGACGAATTACGGCCACGCAAAACACTGCGCCAAAATCATAGTCTCTATTCTGACTATTCTGTGTCAGCATATTCCAATATCCCTCACGGCGTGACGTCATGTATTTCGACATGTGCGATGAAGGAAGGATTGGTGACGAAACGATGATAAATCAAAATGGCCGCTTCTCCTTGGGTTTGGGAGGAAGACGGTATAATGGACATACAGACACAACCTGTATCTTTAACTTACTGTTCAAACCTAAACTGTATAATCTTGACCCGCACGGATAATACTATCGACATCATAGACGTGAATTCTGGAGATATAGTGCGAAAAACTCTTGTTTTAGGTGAGTTTTAGGCAGGGGTCTTGCATGCTGGTAGCTTTCGTTTACAATTTGTGGTTATTGACTCATTGTAGAAACTCGTAGTACAGCATAGATTTGGGATTTGTTTTCAATAAGAATGAAGTATATCATAAAGTTTGTACGGTTTTGTACTTATTTTAGTAATTTATATTTACGGAAGGAAGGTATGTTGAATATTTAATCTTAAAATATTATGGAATGTGCATAGTTGGCATTTTTATGCAATAAGTGTCAAAACAAGTAAAAGTATTCAATGTGTGGGTTTTTAAATAAAACTTAGAACTTGTTCATGTTAGTTTATTGGTGAATTATAATTGTAGATTATGATTTATGAATAGACTTGGAATTAAATATTTACAAGATTGTGTTACTTGTGAGAACTTGAAATTATTTACCTTACCTATAAATAAACCTGAAAATAGAGAGTACTGTTTTCAAAACCAATACAATGTATTTAGTTATTCTATATTTTTATTTATGTAAAATAATTTGCCCTATAAAGGAAGGTGCAACAACAAGAGAACACAATGTCCCACACAAGGAAGTACACCCACAATCTGATATTAATAATAATTTGTTTTACAGTTAAATTAGTTTGTAACACATCAGTTTGTTGCAAAGTACTTAATTATCCTCCTCTGCAGGCATCTCACCTGCGGAATCTGGTGGTATAGAGATGCCTGCGGAGCAGGCTAGTACTTAATTATGTTTGGAGATTTAATTATGTTTGGAGACTTAATTAATTATGTTTTGGAGATTATTTTAGAATAGACTTGCTTCCACTATATTTTACCTAACACAGGGTTTGTACTGGTCCTGGAAAACCTGGAAAGTCATGGAATTTCAATATTCCAAAGTCCAGGCCTGGAAATCCTGGAAAATCAATTTTAGTCATGGAAAGTCATGGAAAATTGAAATTTTGCATAACATTAACAAAGTATTTTACTTATTTCAATTTACCAGTCATAACAATAATATGAATTGTTGTTATATAATGGATTTTTGCAAGAGCGAAGTGAATATTGTTCTTTTATTATATCTGTTATTGTTAAAATATTAACGAATTTCAGAAATTCCAGACTTCCAGGTCATGGATTTTGAAAAAAATAGTCATGGGAAGTCATGAAAAAGTCATGGAATTTTAAATGGGAGAAGGTGTACGAACCCTGCAGTAACAAGACATACAAACGGAGGCTGAAATAACAGTCGGATATCGGACAACTTCTGACCTTATTATATTCATCTTGAAATCAATGGTGTATCCTGTAATCTGATTGGCTCTTAGCAATGCGATTTCAGCACGAATTGCATGCGATTTCAGCACGAATTGCATTCTGGGGATAAATTTTCCAGACACATTTTGAACGTTATTTCAGTCTCTGTACAAGGAGATAGGAAAGAGGCAGACTTGCATTATGTGAAACTGGGACTTTACAAAATTTCTTAGTTTTGCTGTTCAAAAACAATTAGTAGAGAGATGCAGCAATACAAAAGTACATAAAGTACAAAAGATGTTATCATGGGTGGATTTAGGGGGTTAGGGTGGGTTAAACCACTCCTAGAATCTCTCTAACCCCTCTTATAAAGTGTTCAACCTCACCAAAATTTTGCTTCACCCCTCCTATTCCGAGTCTTTAACCTTAATGCCTAACCCTTGTTGAAGCTCGTTCAGTGGTGCCACTTGCATCCCACCAGAATTTTTTTTACCCCCTTTAAAAAAAAATGAAAATCTGCCCTTGGATGTCATATGTCTGACAATTGACAAAGAACATGATGGTATTCAGATCATTCATATATGGCATCTACAAATACACAGGACATACCTGTAGATTTTATTTTTGTGGAGGTAGCCAATCTTCAAATGGAACTAGGCTATGCCACATTCTCGTACTCAGAGCCCGTCTTACAAGCGGTCAACAGAGCATGACAATGGTCGAGGGGTACGACAATGGGTTGCGTCGTAACTGCAGATCAAAATTTAGCCTCTGAACGAGAACAGAATGCCAAGTGTGCCGCTAGGGGCTTCCATTAGAAAATCCGAAACTTAACTCTTAGATACCTAGCATTTTCATGATTTTTGGAGTTATACCTAGCTCCAAATGATTTTTGGAGTTAGGTGAGTAACTCCACAATTCATATTTCAACTCAGTTAGTTTTAAATTACAAAAGTTACTCAAGTGTATATTTTGGTTTGGAGTTAGCCCTTTAGACTTTAGAGGTAGCGTCGCTCCAGCCTCCATTGCTTCTTACTTTCTGCAGCCATAACACAGGGCCTAACAAAAGTTATCCTGTAATCCCAGTTTCATAACCTGAAAAAATTAGGGTAGGTGGGTCAGAAAATCAATTTCTTAAAAATGTTAAAATATTTTTTTGCTTGAAATTGGTCTGCAATGGCCTTATGAGTGTGATGAGTTGCCATTGCCAGAACACACAAATATTTCAAAAAGCAATAACAGTGGGCAACAGATGCCATTTTTGGTGTTGTGTTGTATCGTAGGTTGGTTGGTAAGCAAACAACACAACTACATAAAAAAAGCATTATAGAGTTAACAGAAAAATGAGGGTCGGTGGGAAACCGGAACCAGGGAATATTTTTTTGTTACAGTTGATTTCACATAACTTTTCCGTGAATGTTGCAAACTTCGTTCGGAACTTCGTTGTGAAGTTCAAAAGTTCATACTGAAATTCACAAGCCGGTTTGTAAACAAAGCCTCTGATTAGCTTATTTTTGTTCAGGGACCAATCAGAGGCTTTGTTTACAAACCAGCTTGTGAATTTCAGTATGAACTTTTGAACTTCACAACAAAGTTCCGAACAAAGTTCGCAACATTCACGGAAAAGTTATGTGAAATCAACTGTAAGCTGAATGGGATGTTCATTAGGACTTAACCCATTGAGTGCCGGCGCTCTCCCTTTGATGGGTAAAATTTTCTGATGTTAGACAGAGTAAAATAATAAAGTAGGGCACATTGGGGAGCAATGCGACTCAATGGATTAAATCAATCATAGGCGTACAAGACAAGAGGAGCAACTGCCCCCCCCCCCAATTTTGGAAAACCATGGAAATTCGGACAAATGCTAGGAAAAATCAAGAAAATTCGGGTAGATTTATCACAAAATAGGTTAAATTCAGGTAATTTCATTACAATCCTGAGGATTGTATCCTCCATACAAATTCAGGCAAACTTTCAACTGCCCCCCTGGAAAGCATCAGCCCTGTATGCCTATGAAATCAATAGAAGTAATATGTGTGGTACATGACTTCATACAACTTCACCACCATGCAAATTGTTACAAGTCCCTATCCTGCTTCCTCCCATTTGCATGTACACTGTGTGGTATGCTAGGTGCAATATAGTATGACAAAACAATTAAAGAGATATGGGACAAGACTACAAGTTTTTTACTTAGGGATGATCTGAGAACTAGAATGTTTTAGGCTGTTGGCAGAGATAATGTGATTTCCAGTTTACGTTAAATGCCGATGGCTGGAAGTATCTCCCTGTGACATTTAATCTCTGCCACTGGAAATAGTAAAATATAAAAAAGACGTGGTTCCGACATATTGTGTGATGCTGCAACCCTGGCAAAAATTATTATGGACAGCACGTTCGGAAATAGAGATACCTGCTGTGCTCAATACATATGTGCAAAAACAGTAATTTTTAACTTTCCTCTCCCTCCTTGTTCAATGTTGAAAGCTTATAAATTGGTTAGGTGAAAGCTTTTTGAAATGCATGTCAAAATCAGGATGGAGCGGGGGGAGATAAAGATGCCAACATGTCTATGTGACCATTAATACTTTGGTTTACATCTAAGTTTTGCCATGATTGTGGATCAATGTTTTAATATAATAAATTGTTTTCATTGTAGTTTTTCTTATTTCAGATGAGAATAATTGCAACAATCTACAATGTATGTTCAATCCAGTTGCTGGAAATCTCGTAGTGACAGATGGTACTTGTATTGGAGTAAGAAAAGATTTAAATGGCATCTATCTACTTAAGACTGCCCTGCAAACACCCGTGGAGAATGCAAGAGATGGCGAGATTGTTATCGAAATGACGTTATCTGATGTAAGATTAACTCATCCTATTTACACTAGATAGTCTAAACTGTTCTCCCTAGAGGTCTGGTATGGTTGTCCCATATTAATATTGGTCCCATGTTACTGTAGGAGAAAAGCAAAGCTACACCAACTTTGTTTATCATGGATAACTCTATCAGTCAAATTGGAAGCACGCTTCTCACATATAGTCAAATAACTGTATATTGTAAAAATCAACTATTTGCATCCCCAAGAATCAACCAATGCATACCGAAATTGTATCAATGATTTATGGCATTTCAGGGCTTGAAATAACAGCCGATCAATGATCGGCAAGAACTTGCTTATGATCAGCGGAAAAGCAGGGTTTTCAACCTGAAAAAAGCAGGGAAAGTCATGACTGCCGATTACCATGATCGGGAACTTTGGGAACGTTATTTCAAGCCCTGCATTTTCAATGTGAAAGTGCTGGTGCTCAATTGGTTGAGCTGCAATGCACCCCAATACAGCCTATGGCTACTTTACTATTTTACTATATTAGTGCAAGGCCAATTCACTCATCAAGGGGAGAATCTTGTGCATTAATGGGTTTAATATGCAGTGTTTATGGAAATGGACTGCCCTAACTTCCTCCATCAAATGAATCTGGAATTTGTATCCAAATAAAATTTTCTGGTATAGAACAAACTACAAAGTATTAGAGTCTGGTTCAAATGTTGAAGTTTTCATGTGCAAAAGTCAAACCTAATGCAAACGAGCTCAATAAATTAGGTCTGGCCCATTACAAAACCAGGCTTAAGTGTGTCATTCCCTTAATTAGTTAAAAAGTTTGCTATCCTTTAGTATAATCAACCATCAGCTTTGGTCTCATTTTAATTTCCATTTCATAATAGATGGAGCATGTTTTATCAGGGCTTCAGACATGTATGAAAGATGCGCATGAACCACATTTGTCAAAAATGGAAAGATTAAAAGGCAAAATGAATGAAAGTATTGAACAAGTGAGGTCAAAGATTTATGAAGGAGATGAAAAAGTACAAAAGGTTCGTATTAATAGACCTTTCCGCTTATGAGTGAAATTTTGATCTAGATATGCCTGGACAAAAATTTCCCATTTGTAATACAAAATGACTGAAAAACGCCAAACTTCGCAAGGCTATATTATCCGCATTTTACAACATTTCGCAATGAAACTTCGGAATATTACTAATTTTGTGATGCTCTTTCAAGCTGTGATGAAATCTTTGTCCAGACTTGTCTAGATCAAAATTTCACTCAAAAGGGGAAAGGTCTATTTTAGCATTTACCTTCTGATTCATTTGGGGAAGAAAATTAGTCATTAGTAATGCTAAGAGGTCAATATAATTCTGAAAACTTGGTCAGACATTGTGTTTGACCAACCCATGTTTTGGTCGGACAGCACATGATCAGACACTTTTAAAATTATTAATTAAAATTATTCTCAAGAGGGACGTTGTCAGTTGTCTGACACTCATAGACGGATTTTCATTTTTTTACTGGGGTGGTGCCAGAAATTTTAGGGGAGTGAGCCGTGAGCAGGTGACTGAAGCAACACGAAGTGTCACCAAACCCCAGTAAGGTCTATATTCTAGGGGTGGAGCACTAGAGCCGCGAGGGGGAGTCTAGGGAAGTCTATTTGCATGACAAGGCACTGCAAACTCTATTCAGGGGAGATAATAGAGTTTCAAAACTTTACAATTGCTCCAATAAACCAGTGAATGCAAGCGAGGAGCGATTAGTTTCAGAGTGTTGCACTGTCTTTTTCTGTTCGAGTGTAC